AACTTTGTTGTTTCCTTGTTTCCTTTCATTTTTATTGAAAAGTTATTATGTGAAAAATTTCTCTGAGGAGATCTACATCACTGGCCATTAAAATTACAGCACCAGGAAGGAGTGATCAGACGAACGTCAAAATCACAAGAAAGGAAAAAGAAGTTGGGATATGCAAATGATTGATATTTCAGCTCATTTAAACGACGCAGGAGGGAGAAGCGACATCTGAAACACTGCATAAAAGAAAAGTTGTGCAGTCGATTTCTCATTCGGAACTTGCTTTGTAAGGTTGGAGTTTGCTCAGAATATTGCGTTATGCCTCGAATAAGAAGAGGAAATGTTTACCAGCAAGTTTTGGTTCGATAGAAACAGGATGGTTGCCTATCGAGAGTGTAGACTGTCATTTCGGGATATCACCCGTCGCACAGGTCAATATCCACCACTGTCATGAGACTATAGAATAAAGGGATTGTTGAGGGTCATACTGAATGGCATGCGCACCCATTACTAATGCTCGCGAGGACAGATATGTTGTGAGGTCAGCTCTGCAAATCCGTACTACCACATCACGGACCATTATTCAAGAAATGGGTATGTTTTCAGCACGCCAAGTAACAGCTCGTAAGGTGCGTCGAGATTTGCAGCAGCTTGGACCATCAGCACGGTGACCATCACTTCGGCTTCCTTTGAAAATTCGGCATAGAGATAGCGATTCTGGTGCCCCGAACGACAAACCTGGATACATGAGTGGCACAACGTCGCCTTTTCAGACGAGTCCCTGTTCTACGTACAGTGTTCTGATGGCCGGATACGTGTCAGGAATGTCCGAGGAGACTTCACGTCTCCTGCTTGCATTCGGTATCGGCATAAGTGCCCTGCACTTGGTGTGATGGTTTAGGCAATCATTGGATACACGACACAAACATCTCTAGTTCTGATCGACGGTAACTGGAACGCAGAAGGGTACATTTCGGATATCTTATATCCAAGGGTTGTACCCTAACTTCGAGGCCCCCAAACCCCATGGTCCAACAAGAAAATGCAAGACCACATGTTGCACATCGTGTTCTGGCCTTCCCCGATGCACAGGATATTCACCCTGATCTGCACGGTCTCCAGATCTGTCACCCATTGAAAACATCTCGTCATGGGTTGCTGAGAAACTGGCCTGCCACCCCTCTCCAGCTAATACGGTTGATGAAATGTGGCATAGACTTGAAGCAGCATGGAATGACTTGCCCATTTCTCCATGCCCAGTTTAACACTATCATGCATCGGGGTAAGGGCCGTTTTAGCTGCCAGGGAGGCATTTGTGCTTGATAATTTAGCATCCCTGTAAACCTCGAAAATGCTTACAAATTTAATCATTTTGTCTTTGTGTCGTACTGGTTTTGTGCAAGAAATATATTTTTTGTATTTTCTTTCCTTCATGGTGTTGCAGGTTTAATGGCCAGCAGAGTATTTTAAAGCTTACACATTCAGTAACATCTACGAATTTTAATTATGATTCTAACTGTAATCAAATGATTACCACAACAGATTTTATGTGCCTTATATCATAAATTAAATTTTTCATATCTCCTTTTCTTTCAGATTATTTCAAGAAAAGTACATGCAATACTTCAAGAAAGGCTCCTGAGCTTAGTGGGTTGCTCCTAGATTACGCTTTTGCTTTTCAACATGTGTTAAGTGTTTTTACTAGTATTAATGCTAAATATTGGGAAAATTGGAAGATAACTGAATTTAAAGATGATTTATTGATTTTTCTGTCAATATGAATCTTGCATTCTTTCAAAAAAAATCTTGCAATTATTTTTCTAATAGAGGAAATATTTGAAATGTGTTAGATGTTGGAATTAAAAAACATCGCTTGTTTGATGAATGCAGAAAAATAATTTGAACCGCTTTCACCTCAACTTAACTTAAAATATCATAATTTAATATACCTGTGCCATAATAAAAATATTAAAAGAATTATTGCTACTGACTATATTAATAATTACTAATCTATTCATCTTGCCTAATGAGAAGCGTAAGCTGTTAGGAAAAAGGTAGAATATTCCCCTTGGAACTGTATTAATTAAATTTAACTAAATTTCACATTAGAGGAAAAAGTACGTACAATTACAAAATAATCAGTTTAATCTATTGTAAAAAGTTCTGTTAAAACTTAAAAGTAATCAGCATTTTAACGTAACTGTTTACTTTAAGTCTTGCATGAAAAAAAAAAGTTATCTGTGTTTTAGTAAGTGTAATATTATATAAAACTAATTTAATTTTAATTAATCATCATACTTTCAAAGTTGTTACACTAGTGTGTAAAAACATAGAATTAATCCAGATGAGATTGTTAAAAATTACGTTTTGTTGGAAAAATATAATGCACTATCTCCTAGAAAAAAATATAATTCGATTAATATAAACTATGCGCACTATGTTTAAGAGCTAAGCTAATCTTCTCATTTAAGTGTTGGTACAGAGTCACAAAATTTTTTAACTACCACATGACTTATGTTTAATTTTTATATTTACTACTGTTTCCTTTTTGGGGCACTAGATGTGTTAAGAACTACACTGTGCAGTGAATTATAGAAAAAGTTTAAAGAGTGACCTCTGAAAACAATCCATATTTTATTACATTTAAAAATTAATTCTTTATCTCCTACGAAATGCGGAAGAAGAGCTTTGCTATGCATATCAACATATCATAATTTTATTGTAACATAAGATCAAACCCATTCTCTTCTTTTCTATACTTTCCCAAATTTTCTATTAATAATTAATGCTATGATTTTGAGCATCTATAACAATGCATATAGATTAAATCAAAATAGTAGCTGATAAGATTAAGTAATTACCGCAAAATTAAATGAAGAAGAACGAAATTAAATGGATTTACATCATGAAAAACTAGTCTTGACAATAACCAGTGCTCAAACTACTGAAATAATAGGATCGTTTATTAATTCTTTTTCTCTGCGTAATACATGAACCCACAATCCTTCAGCCAACGAAACTCGTTGTGATAGTGACTGGATTGGATCGGATTGGATTATCTAATTATGACCCTGCAGATTGTAGCTAACTGCTGTCCTTGATTACGAATCTAGATACAAAATCGAATTCGGCATCCTGTCGTCTGAAAATTTCTTTAGAAATGAAATTGTCAGTGTCCTTGAGCTAATTGGAATCCTGGCTAAAATTGAATGTGTCCCCTCCCCCCCAAAGAAAACATCCATGCAATAATAAAGTGGGATGTTTCAACGAACTTCTGATGTATAACGCTAACATAAATTTTAAATTCAAAGGCTTATGAAATTATATTGTACTGATGAAATGCTAAATCGGAGTCGCGTGAGTGGGATTGAAACGTTTATACATTGCTGTATTTATATACATCTCTATCGGAAGAAGCTGATGAAACATATCTGACTTCTCATCACACAGTAAGCCAGACTGATATCAGATGAAAATAAAATTGAAGTAAAATGTGCTGAACTTGACGCATCTTTCACAATTCCTTATACCGCCAATAGCAGATGCATTATATTTGGGTTTCTGATACATATCACGTGATTGGAAGAGAATAGTACAGCTATTTGGATCATCGATTATCCAACATTCCCTTTTATTCGACATGCTACGAAAACTTAATCTAGGCTGGCTTTTCCCTGATAAGCTGCTGAAATATTCAGAACTTTTGTCGTTTATCGTAAGTCCCTAATTCTCTAATAAATCAGATAATGCTCCAAGTTAAAATGACCAACCAACGTACTTATGTTCTGTACAACGTTCAACTCTTGTTTTTAGTCCCCAATGCTCTGTCTCGAATAGTTTTTTGGATATGATAATACTATTAACAATAGCTAAAGTTGGCAACTCATGCCATAAAGCTCATAATAGTTTTCAAATGCCAACTGGTTTCGAAGTCTTTTCAGTAGTTCAGAATAAGAACAAGAAACGTTTAAAATAAAATGTAGTACTAAAATTCTATTTTCTGGGATTCATTTTATTAAATATGAAACTATATAGATATTATTTTTTGGAACACCGCCTACTGCAGCTACTATTCCGTCTCATGCACATTTATTTCCTCTTCGCCCTTCGTTTTTGTTTGCTGCTTTTTTGTTCGCCTTTCTGAATCATATTAGCCAAGATGGTGATGTCATTACTAGGAATAACGCTAGGAAGTGTAATGTTAGGAATACCAACTTAACAATGAATAAAGTAAACAAAGTATGCTTTAAAATTCATTCGTTTCATAATATCTTAAAAACTAACATAAAAACACTACACAGATTGCAGATCATAAAATTAAATCATGATAATAAGACTTATAGCATCCTACAGATTGTATTATTAGAATCTTAAAAAATTTATAATTTTAATATATATAAATTACATCTTGCCTGTTTTCCAAAATAAAAGTTTAAAATCTTAGGATTCCATTTTAAATTGCTTTACAAATACTTGCCACCAGAGTAAAGAAATATTTGATTTGTTTCTTTTATAAATTTTATATGATGCACACTGTATGGTAATGAGACTACATTAAGATTAATGCAGTACCATTACCATACAGATGTAGATGAAATAATTTTAGTACTATTGGCCCAAAAATAGATAAAATTAGATATACGTTTTAACGTCCACTAATTATATTTGTGTTTTGTTGAGCTGAGTTTCGAAAAAATGCTATTTTGAGTTCAACGGATCTATTTTAATAATTGATTTTTCGTAGTTCTGTATTCATTGATACTTTGGATTATGTAACCGTCATTCAGTTTCATTTATATCGGATAATCGGAAAATCGGAATTCTGTTGCATGTCCTAATTCAGTCTAAAAAGAAGTCTTCTGACTTATAAACAGTCGAGCCAATAAAAGAACACTGAAATGACTTGCTATAAGACATTTAGAATTGAATCTTACCTAAAGAATCGTAGAAAATCATGAAATAAAGAAGTATTACGACAGCTAAATATCTAAAATCAATTACAGAAGATTTACCTGCCTGGTCACGGAAACGGTGACATTTGATGAAGTCACCCATCCGCCAGCAACGTCTTCAGTGACAGCTTGAGTAGACATCATAGGTCTGCCGTCAACTACCCATGAAACTTCGACTGGTGGATTGCTTGAGCCCGTTTTGCAAGACAAAGTGACAGACTCTCCCACGCGAACTTCTTTAGGCCCACTAATAACAACTTTCGTTGGTGCAACTGAAAAGAAAAGAAATTTCAGACAGAATGAATTCAGTGCATGTACACACTAAATTCAGCACATCTCTAAGACACAGTGCATCTAGACAGTTTTAGGCCAGAAATTTCTCAGAGACCGGCAAGCACAGGTATACGTGAAAGTACGGGGAACATTAGAGACGTATCATGGGTCAAGTGGTAATGCATTCTGACACCAACTAGCCCTAAAATAATTGCAAACTTTATTTAGGGTTTACAGAGAAAGGGTCAGGAGAAAAGCAACTGAAGCTTTTTAAAAGGTCAAGAGTTCCCTATTGTGATACATCGTGCAATCCCATTCTCCCCCTCGCATCCAGTATGTATTAAAAATAATTATTTAGGATATAAAGAGATGGCAATATAATTTCAGTACACTTTGAAATTCCTAAATTAAATTTAGAATATCAGTTTTACTCCCAAATAATAACTAGTTACTAATACACTTGAACTTCAAACTAAGTAAAACAGCAACCTTGTTTCTGGTAGAGATTTTAATTAAAACTCTATCGATTTCGAGGGCGAACAGGTACAGGTATAGGGAAGCCCTGAACATTAACATTTTTATAGCTTTTCAGAAATTATAAAATATTGGTCTTAGGCCTGATTGCGAAGCTGTCTTCAAAAACAAAATGAATATTCTGTATAAAGATAATTAACAACTTGAGCGATAAATTCTCTATTAGGAAAACTTCTTTTCCGAGATGCATAAGGAAAATTACAAAGACTTCCTAGGTAACCATATTTCCATATTTATCTGATAAAATCGAACCTGATGAAATCAGAGTTATCTACTCTTACGAATGTTTAAATTCTTCCGAATGTTTAAATTAGGTTATTTAAAGACTACAAAACACACAAATGTTATTTCCTTAAGGGAAGTAGTAACTTTACGGAGGACCTCCCAAAGCAAAGTATCTCGCATTAACGTTACACGTACGGAAAACCACGAAAACTAACTATGCAGGGCAGAGAGAGCATTTGAACCAGATCGAACAACTAACAGTATTCAGCGGATTTTAACCACTCGGTCACTGATGGGGCTATTTTTATCGAATGTGTTATCTAGGACACCATTCTTTAGCTACTGCAAAATATTTGACATTGTTTTTTGGATTTCCAGGTTAGTGGAGATATTGAAACATTAGGATTTTTGGAAGCAAGAAACTGTAGAAATGAGTAATGCCCTCACTGGGACTCGAACCTCGGACCTCTCGAATACGCGCCGTGCGTGCTGACCATTACACCACGAATGCATGCTAAGAAGGCGGGAGAAAGAACTTATGGAGCTTTTACAGGGACTCCGCAAAAATTTCATAATAATCAAGATTTTTATATCATTATATAATAATAAATATATTAACTTTCATATTAATTAAAATTTTTTATAATCATACTTTGATAAAAACTCTGCAAATTACTCAACATTTTTAATATTTATATTTGTGTTATAAGAGCGAGCGATATAATTTAAAATGGAGCCATATAAATAAAGTTACGCCATTTTTAAATGAAAAGAATTATATAAAATAAAATTATCTGAAAAACTGTATTCTCATAGAGCTTTCGAAACACGTATATACAATTGAACTGCTGGGGTCGTTTAGTTTCAGTGCTAGCTCATTAATTTTAGTCTCTAGCCGAAATCTAATCAGTCATATGCTTAATTGCCTTATTATTAACCCGATTTTAAATGAACGATGGAAAGAAATGGTTGAATGAAGACTACGATAATTATTTTCAAAAAGAAAAATAATTAAATACTTGAAAACGTGTGCTAATTTGATGAGGACAAATGAGCAGAACCATATTTGTCCCTATAGGACAACTCGCGTCAAGCGAATTTCAAGGGAAGCAAAATGCACTGTGCTGTAGATGTCTTAACTAAAATTTCGTTCATATGAATTTATATTGAGATGCCAGAGTAATAATAAAAACTTATTTGAACACGATAGATCTTAACCAACTGTTGCCTTCTAGGGACCTTTAAATTAAATTATTGTTCTTATTTCTTATGTCGCTGTTCTTATTTCCAAAGTAATTATTTTCACTAAAACGCGTTTAAAGTTCGATTTTAATTTTTTTTATTGAAATAATTAATCTAAAACAATATTTTACAATTTAATCTAGAAACAATTTGTTTGGAAAGATTTTACTACGATATGAACCTAAGATAGAAAAAAAATCCTCATACTCACGAAGAAAAGAAATCTGTTGCTAAAAATAACACTGCCGTTGATTCTTAGACTATATCACTTGATATTTATCAAACATGCTAACGTACCGTTGGCCGCAGACCTAGTTCTTACATATGTTTCAAATACGTGTTCCGTTCAAGATTAAGAATATTACAAAAGTTCACCTTTCCATCTCCTTCACATGCAAGTTAGCTGTAGACATAGTAGTTATAATATAAGTTCCATGAATATCTAGGCAGTCTAAAAAAGCATTTGACAAACATTTGAGCAAAGTTTGTTTAGAGCAACAAGGTTTAATTTAATTTAGTATTAGCATGTAATAGTAAGACCATTAATGTATTGGATTAAAGAAACGATTTAATAAAACCTCTTCAGCTTGAAACAATTAGTGATATGTAACAGTGACGACAACGATAAATGAAATGTAACTACGTATTTTATATACTTACAGAGAACATTCAATCTCACGGAGGCTGATAGAGGCTGCAAAGTAACTACATTTGATGCTTCGCATTTGTAAATGGCTTTGTTGTCTTTCGGTCCAACAGTGAATGTATGAGTATTGGTGGCTTCCCGACCGCCTGTGGAATACGTTATATCCACTTGATCATCATTTCGAAACCATATTAGACGAGCTGGTGGATTTCCTCCTCTAGATATGCATGCCAACGTCAGCTTGTCACCTACTTGCACAATATCGCCATCGTGATAACCTTCTATTTGTGGAGGACCTGGTGGAACTAGAAAGAGAATATAATATTTTAAAATCCAATAATAAAAAAAATTGAAATTTAATTTTCAGATTGCATTTGTCGAGAATGGAAAATTGTAAAGTTTGTGATATATAAGGTACAACATTTAACGTTAGCCATCTTTACGGTTGGATTACACATTTATTGTACACTATAATGATTACAATTGAGCTCTGTTAGGTAAATCAGTATTTGTTAGTTTATAAACAGGCGTCACTTCTTTAATACGAAACATTTTGGGATATGCTACATAGCTGTCGAAACTTTGCTGCCATATCACAGGCGCACTTACCATAACGAGATGTAAAATGTCCTGCAATCCGCAATTCCTAAAAATTGTCTTTTTAAGTCTGTTAATGCCATACAGAATGTGAGTGAGATCATTATTGTATGAGATTAAAAAATATTTTAAAAAGTTTTCAAATTCAATCATCAGTTACTTATATGTTACCACGATAACAACAACAACAAAAAATATCCATCAGCAACATTTCAACTTTCAAATTGCCCCCAGAAAAAAAGAGTGCTTTGCATGCTCTAAGAGAGGTTTCATTCGGCTTGGGGTCTCTTATTATTTCACTGCTGCAGATTTTTAAAGTATTTGAAAATTCAAGTTTTGTTTCACAGCCTTCCTGATACGAACTTTAAAAATGCAGTTCATCAGGAGATTACGAATATTAGAACGCTATATACCGAGAAATAGCAATTATATTTGTGATATGGCAATAATGCATTGATTGTCACAGAGAACATCTCGGATTGGCTTGAACAAGTGAAACCTGTTGTGTAAATGCAAAGCACTGACTCACCTAACTGTGTTCAGTTTTATTTATTATTGTGTTCCCCCAGCAAAATGTGCAACTTAACGTATTACGCAATTTGTAACTTTTCGGAAATTTTTCGTATGTAGTATTATTTCATGAAATTAGTAACAAGCTGCATACAAAATTCCATTCTGCAAAGACACATAATTTGTTTGAGGTTCTATAAATTTTACAGTTTTTGCGGGAATTTTGGTTGATACCCTATGAAACGCATAACTTTTTATTGCTGGATATATTATTGTTAGTCAGAGCCGTATTTTTCACTATTTTTCATCGGAGAAAAAACGCTAAACGCACAACCCTAAATACAATCAAGTTAACTTATATCTGTATACTTTTATATTCAAAACCATAATTATAATAAATCATATAACAGTTTGTATAATCACTTTAGTCGTAACTTAATGTGTTCAAAAATACAATTACTAATTCATAATATATGTACGCTAATATATTCATAATATACATACAATTTACAGCACAAGCGAATAATTTTCATTAAAATTATTATTATTATTTTAAGTTTTCTGAATCTGTTTTCATTCAAACAGTAGTAACTGGCAATACTAAAGGTATTTATAATGCAGCTTCCGAATTCAGATATAATCGAACAAGTCTACATTCCTGAATCATCTTTAAAAGATCTGATAATACTTTCTCGACCAGAGTTATTGAAATAGCATAGTTTTTGAAACTAAATATTTCTGAAGGAATATCTGGAGAATTTATATCATTTGGATATTTAAGTACTAAGTAGGTCTTATGAAATATCTAAATTCAATGGCACTAGTTTTCAACAGTTCGAAAATGGAAATCAGTAACTATCTCGTTTAAGTTTTCATAGGTCAATTTTAATTGCGAGATTAAATTACTTATAATTTCTTTCATTACTACTATTAAAATATTTTTCACAAAAATTATTTCTGTTAGCAAGCGATCCTTAACAACCTAATTTACTAAATTTTCTTTTTCAAACTTTCCTCTTTGTTTAATTTGTCATATTTCTCGAGAACATTTCTTGCATAATATGAAATAATTCTTCCACTTGGTCATTTAATTTATAATGGTAAAGTATACAAAGACTACTTGCCTAAGAAGAATAATGAGATTCATAGAGGGCTTTCTAAATGTAACTAGTTCGTTTGAAGCGTGGTGGTGAAATCATGAAAAAAGCCTTGTAGCAAACGCCTTCGTTGAGATTCAGTGTTAGGTTAGTCCGTTCATTAAACTTTCAGCTTTATGCACAATTAAAAAATTTCATTGCAAGGCTTTTTACCTTTTTTGTTTCTTGCAGTATTATATTGAATGCATAAAATTTTAAATGGATTTGCTAAAATAGGTTATTAATTTCAACCTGTTGCAATGATACATCATTTTATTTAAGGTACTTTTATAAATATAAAGCAATAATAATAATGTGCTGAAAATTACAAAAAAAAAAAGACTTGATAATAATTTGTCTGTCTTATTTCAAATATTAAATAAATCATTAATAATTAAATAAGCTTTAATTTCATTCGGTTAATTGATTAAGGAAAAGCACGAAAGTGCTCAGAAAAATATACTTTATTACTTTTATAATAATTAAAACGGTACTTTTTGATAAGTTTCGAAATTGAAATTTAAATGACATAATTTGTTTTTCAACGTATTATTAAAATTTTGCTGCTAATTTGGCAGCTCTTCTAGCCTCATTCTCGTTGCGGCTCTCTTGGTATTAACCTCGAAACGATTCCTAAATCCTGGAAAAATCCTTATTCATATTTTCTAAAAAAGTCTTGAAAAAGCATTTTATAAATACAAAATATTTTATGAAATCAGGTACCATAAGTAACAGATCATGATACTCGCAAAAAATCTAGCCATTTCCAAATTAATCTTTGGCACATTTCGCTGATTAAATACATTTCTGAAAATCAAATTTTACATTGACATATTAAATAGGAAGTAGCAACCACTCAACGAAATTGAATTGTGGCTGGGCCAGTTATTGCGTACAATTTATTTAAACGATAGCGACGTTTCGACAAAATAATATTCATGGGTAGCCAAGATAAAGAAAAATACCGTTCATCTTTGCAACCGTTCTGTTGAAAAAAGTTTAAATCGAATTTTCCTGATCATTTTCTAACCCACATCTATGGAGCCACGTCAACATCTATTTCTCTAAGATTTATCACTAAAGGAAGTAACCGGAAAATAATAACAAAAAATATTCCTCGTCATTGAAGAATACAAAAAATTTCAATTTTACTTTTTTTCTGGAGATGTGAAAAATGATGCTAGCAGGTGCGATGAACTTTTCGAAAACATCTTGGAATTTTAAGCCACGCAATTCCTCACACCCAATAAGAGCTCCTTGATGGTAGAAGGTTTTTATTATGGCAAAATGCCATTTTTTTTTTTTTTTTCAGATGTGGTATTGAAAATGGAATTATGTTTCCTAAATACTTATGGAAAACAGTTTCCTAAGTAAAATATGGAAAACTCGGTTATCGAAAAAATTGGATCATATAACATAAAAGAAAGCAACGGCATTTCATTCAATAATGGAAAAATTTTGAGGCAGGTTTAAATCTTAACTTCCAAGGAAACCATTCATATCCTCAAAAACAATGCCTTATTTTATCTTCCGTATATTATAAATTGAATAAATCTCGTAGGAAGCAATAGTTTCATTCTGTTCCTACTTTATTTACCTTTATCGTACCATAATAAAGACCGCTTTTAAATGTGACATTTCCGTTAAAATAAGTGTAATGATCTTAAAAATTTCTTAAAAATTACGGTGCTTAAGCTATGTAGTCTATAAACAATTCAGATAGACTTCAACGTACGATGATTCGCAAAAATTAAATATGTATTTTGAAATGAATTTATTCTTTATGAATGATCGAATTTTATTAAAAGAAAAGAATAAGCCTACTTTATTTGACTTATACTCAGATTTAAATTAGTTAATTAAAAAAAAAAGGTTACGCTGAAAGAGGCATTTTTTATTTACACATACATACACGTTTCCAGAGCATTTGGGCTAACACTCCGTTGGTCTAAAATTATTTAAAAACAGCATATCTTTAGAATTTCCGATAGACGGTTTCACGCACTGGAGATAAAAATATGTTATTTATCACAGTGTGCTGCCACTGTTACCTTTGAAATCGTTGAGTTTCTTAATCAAAAATTCCTTAAAGTTAAAACAAATATGGACTATATACTAAAATGAATTCGAAATCCAAGATTCGGATTTCCAAGTGCTCATGTTTGGGTGGAGGACTACGTTATTCAAAATTTGATAACTCTAGATATCGCTGTTTTTTCACATTGCGAGAAACACATATATATTCATGCATATTCTACATTTAATTTCCTTAAATATAATACTGGCAGATAATATTTGGTGGCAAAAATTTGAAACGTTATACAGCCGTTTATAGTGATTCGACGTAAAATGTCGTTTCGAAACCAATAGCCGTTTTGGGCTAACGTCCTAACAGTTTTATGTGAGCACAAAAGCATTTCTTTCCACTGGGGAATCATGGTGGTTTAATGTTATCCAGATTATGGCTTTGCTTTTTTCTATGTTTACATGTGAAAGAATTGCAGAGATGCGAATATTCATAATACTCATATTCCCTGCTAATAAAATAGTTTTACAAATTAAAGATATTATAAGACTGTTTTTATTACCTTTTAGAATTATAAAGTATCTTTAGAAATATAAAATTTGTAGTGAAGTAAGAATGATTTAAGAAAAGATAAAAGTATTCTGCTTGTGATTTTCTTTGTAATTTAAGGCATTCTTTTCTAATAAATTAACATTCTAACTCTGGTAACATTTAATATGCAGTTTTGGGTGAGATTAAACATTAAAGCACTTAAAAGCTTTAATGTTTAATCTCACCCAAAACTGCATATAAATGACATTTAAAAGCAATAAAAATATAACCGAGTAGAAATAAACTTATGTTAAGAATGATCTAAAAGCATTCAAATGTTGTAAACATGAGTAACGATTTGTTTACTTAAAATACGTCTATATCTTACTGTTTTCCAGCGTTAAACTACGTAGTATTTAGTCCATAAGTGGAAATTGGAAATAATTTTGTTCTTTTAAAGGAAGATGCTGAAATTCTGTGTCTCAACACTTAGTAAACATTGCTG